GACAGCTTGAGGCTCTGTCTCAAAAAAAAAAAAAAAAAAAAAAAAAAAAGTTAAATATACTTTTAAAATTATTTTTGTTATGATATCAAATTGTGTTGAAATTATATAGTCAGATGTGTATGAGTGATTATTTGATAGAGTTAATCTATTTTAATCTGTTTTAAATATTTCTAAATAGAAGGAAAAAACTCCTCAACAAAAAAAAAAGCAGGGAATAAAATATGGGATAAAAAGAAAGCAAACAATGGTTTCTAACAGGCTGCTTAAAAAAGAAAAGCAAGCAAATAATATAATAGCAGAAATCCAAACATATCAATAATTACATTAAATACTAATAGACCAGACACATTATTTAAAAGGCAGAGGCTTTCAGACTAGATAAAAAAGCAAGCCTTGACAACATGCTAATTACAAAAGACATCTATCAAATCTATCAAATATAAAGACCCAGGTTTAAAGTAAATAGACAAAAAAAGATATACCACGCAGTGAGTGAGCATGAAGAGGACAAAGTGGCAAAATAGATTTTAAGACAAAGAACATCATTATAGATGAAATGGCAAAAAGGTGGCTACATTAGGAAGATATAATGATCACAAATGTGTATGCACCTGACAAACCTTCAAAATACACAAAGCAAAATTCAAGTGAGTTAAAGGAGAATACAGATAATTCCATAATCAGAGGTGGAGATTTTAACACCCCTCTATCAGCCACTGGTAGAATTAAAAAGCAAACAACAAAGGTACACATAATCTGAACACTATCAGCCAACTTGACCTAATTGGCATTTATAGAACATTATACCCAACAATTATTCTCAAGTATACACAGTGTATTCACCAATATGACCACAAACACAAGCTTCAATAAATTTAAAAGTATTGAAAACATATAAAATGTGTTCTCTAGGGCGGCACCTATGGCTCAAAGGAGTAAGGCACTGGCCCCATATACTGGAGATGGCGGGTTCAAACCCAGCCTCGGCCAAAAACTGCAAAAAAAAAAAAAGTGTTCTCTAATAACAGATTTCATTAGAAATAAATATTGTAAGATATGTAGGAGAAAAAAGCCAAATATCTAGACATAAAACACCACACTTTAATCCATGGGGAAACAGAAATCACAAGGGAACTTGGAAAATATCTTAAACTGAATGGCAATGAAGATACAAAGTATCCAAATATATAGAATGCTGCTGCTTAAGAACAGCAAGGAAGGCTCCCCGCCTGTGGCTCAAGC